GTTGTGTCTTCCTGGTCGAATGTACTTATTGTAAGTCGCTTTGGATAAAAGCGTCAGCTAAATGCAATGTAATGTAATGTAATGTAATGAATGACGAATAAACAGCAAGTAAAAAATACAGTAACCCTGGAAAACACTNGACAATTTACTAGCGGTATTTACTTGCGGTACAGAGGTGGGCCAGTTGGCAAATTACAAATGTACTAGCGGTATTTACTAACGGTATTTACTAGCGGTACCGATGTGGGCCTGCGGTACCGAAGTGGGCCGGTCGAGAGTCCCGGGCTGATTTTTTGTCCCAGTCCGCCCCTGACTATAACTGATACTGTTAATTTGGTAATTTTTCCAATAATTTAAATTCAATCTAGCAGAATAAACTACAACATGCACAGTACAATTAAATAACATCAACGTTCTCATTGCAATTTTTTACTTTACCAACTGTTTAATGTTTAATTCCATGCCCCTGTGGTCACATGTCAACGTGTCCAGCACCTCTTTTCACCCTCTGTCTAAAACCAGAGCCCAGTCTGCTCTGATTGGTTAGCTGGCCGGCTCTGTTGAAATGTGTCAACAGCTTAGAGATGTCCAACTCTTAGCCTCTCACGTACAATGTGTTGGAGCGCTATTCAATAGAACAACGAGTGTTATATACAGTAGTGATGTAACTCTTTGACAGAAGTAAACTAGGGCGTCCAATCGAGACGTTTCAGACAGGGGGGGGAATGTGTGGGAGAGAAACTCCCTCTGCAGGAAACTTTGGGATTTTAGCCTTTGCAGACCATTTACATAACACACCGCAGGAAAGGGAAAAGCACAAAATAGCCCCTTTAATCCTTCCTGATAAGCAGGTATCAACTTGTTGAAGCCTCGTCCTTCAGTAAATGAAAGTGTTTGTGAATGCTGAGTTGTGTTGTAAAAGGGCTTTGAGTGGTCGCAAAGACTGGAAAATAGTTTTATAGAAGCAGTCCATTCAGTTATTGTGATGATCTGTAATGACTGAGATAACACTTAGCCATGTTAGTTCAATGCCCTGTGCTTATTGTATTCAATAACTAATACCCTGTTTTATTATTATTATGTATCTTCGTGTTGATTGGACCTTTGCCTACTTTGCTTTAATAGGCGGTGATTCAATTATTCTAATAGACACATCATGAGGCCACAAAGGCTAGTTTGAAAGGAATTAGATATTAAATGATGTTCGTTTGAGCATCTGAGTCTAACATTAGTTATCCTAGAATATGAAAGCAGTAAGAAACTAATGTAAGGTATATTATTTGAACAATGAAACAACCCTTTAAAAAAATGAAACTCTAGACAGTACGCCCCTTTTCCCTTTTTGACGAGAAAGGTCATACTGTACTATCTTCTGTAGTAAACAATGTAACATAATTGACAACATACATACATAGATAATCCTATTCAAAAGATTTATGAATAGTTTTATTGGTATAACAATATTTATCACCAAACCTGTAGTGAGGGACTAGTGCTACTGCTACTAGATATTGAAGTGACTGTTATTTTGTATATATTGATTTTTATTTATTTATCTTAATGTGTGCATATGTGTAAATGTGTCTGTTGATTGTGTATATAGGATATACGTATTTTATACTGTATAATTTTACATTCGGGATTGTTGGAAACGTCATTTCGATCTCTCTGTCTGAGTAAGATTGACATTAAAGTTGACTTTGACTTTTGACTAGTGTTTTAATTTACGAGAATAAAAAGGAAATATAATGGGAAGGGAAGAGTTGAGGGAAACATCTCCTCACTATTCATTTGGTATTATCTGTAAATCCAGTTTAATGAAAGTGGTTGTACTCCTGTAGTTATTCTCTGAGCTAATGCAATGCGATTGGCCTTTTCTCTCCAGGCAGACCCGGAGGTGTCAGACTTCATCGGCTCCCGTGCTGCCGGAGGGGATATCTTCCGGTTTGCTAAATGATGAATTCCTGAAGGATCGCCTCCAGTCAGTCAGCGGACAGAAAATAGCTCACAGCTCACATGACGAATGTTAGCCTTTCCACACACTCCATTTGACCCTAGGAAAGATGGACAGCTTGCCTTGTGTTATTTTTCCTCTATCTTTTTTAAACAACACGTTTAACTGTCAGTAATGTTAACAATTACCACGTCCGCCTACTAAATGGGTACATTTTCAGGAAGCAGATTTAAATCCTTTAACATACGCGTGAATTGATTGTTAGTCTCTGAATCATTAATTAAAGCACGGGACATTTGCTGGCAAGCTGCACATTGATGGAGGGAAGATCATTAGTGGCCCTTTGGGTCCTTCTAATATACTCTTCCGACAGTGAGCAATTCAGCAGTGACTTGAGTAGGAGGACTCAACCCGCAAATCAACCTTGTTGACCTGCAATTGGCCGTGGGCTGGATATCAGCTGCACTAAAAATAAGTAGACACCCCTCTGGTGTTTCACATCTATTTTCATTTTTATTAGCTGGTGAGGATTGTTATAGAATTGAAGCATGAGCATAAATATGTACTGTGCATTTATGAATAGTATTACAGATATGGAGGAATACAAATATAACTGACAATATTAATCTGTTTGGTATTTTCTGTTTTACTAATTCAAACTAGCAGAATTAACGACAGGTACCAAACGATACAATTAAAGATTGTCAAAGCCCTTAATCAACTTAAGCCTATATCTCATTATCTGCCTGCATCCCTTCAGTAAGTTGTGTTGATCTGTTATGACTGCTGTGCCACACTGAGGGCCATGTTAGTTCAATAGCAATGATCACCAATCCTGAAATCAATTGTGTCCTTATTTCCCCACTTGTAAGTATTGGCAGTTTGATAGATCTCATAACTTCAGGGTATTGTATGTAATTAAACGGAGTGAAGGGACCCTTAGGGTGAAAAGGCTTCGCATTTCTAACAACCCAATTTTCAGAGCTCAAACAGATGCAAACAGAGAAAAAGAAAATGCGTGCGGCAGCATCGACCTCACCTTGAGTGCATAAAACGACAGGCTAGTGAGATGTCACATAAAAGGGAGTGTCCCCACACATAGCACACTGTAAAAGGCTAGTGACCTTTATGAGAAAGGAAGTGCTCACACTCCATTGACTATGAACTCCAGAGTGATGGAGAAAATTACATGCTTACTTGGACCACTATCTTTGGACAGATACAGCGATGAATCAATAAGTTGCTAATTCTTGAAGGCACGTCTCTCTGGGGCAGACGTACGCTGGGGGCAGATCCCATGTGGCCCTCGAGCCCCGTAGAACAGCTAGATCTCAGGTCACAAATCAAATGATCGCATCTTCAACCAACATTGATTTCTCCGGTCTGTGGATGACCACAATTCAATGCCTCACCCCTGATAAAACCTCAGCGACATGTTTGATAAAGTGCTAGAGGCCATCTCCTGCTGCTACCTTTGCTGATTTTGTGGTTAGTTCACTGAGAGGCTTCTTATTACCAACCAACCTTTGACATACATTACAGGAGGGGGACTTTGACTGAATCTTGATACAAATTATAATCCGATTTAAATTATTCAAAGTCCTACTGTATATAGTAATACTGAATGCTTGAGGACCAAGTTACTGCACACATTAAAGTGGAAAGCTCAGGTCCCTCATGTACAATGGATCAGGGATTAAGACAGAATTAAAGGAGGGGAAACCATTATGGTCAGATGTCCAAATGTGCTTTGTCAATCATTCTATGCATGTCCATATCACAGCAAGTCATAAGAAACCTGTGGGCCAGAATAACATAATAAAGGCTATCATTTTCCCTCACTGTTTTTTTTCACCAGTTCAAAGGATTTCCGTAAAATTGTGGATAGAACATTCACAGGTGAAGCCAGAACAGCAGGTCACCCGGGCTTTCGGCCCATTTTGAACAAAAGAGCCACTTTGTCCTTTGAAAGCAAATTAATCACCGGTTAAAAGACGTGAAATATTTTGAGATCAGCTTCAGTGGATAACATTATTTGTTCCTATAACTGGCAACTGCCCATGAGAGCCCATCATTTGATTCAATAG